GTAGAGCGACGGTCTAGCTTCATGCAGGTCAGCGTTCAATCCCCGACTGTCCACAAGTGTTTGGGTACCATTCCTTCCCTCCATCCCATCCCAAATCCTTATTCTGACCCCTTCTCAGTGCTATATAGTCGTAATGGCTTAGCGCTTTCCCCCTCCTTTACACAGCCCATACGCCACTACTCTGAGGCCGAGCCTGGCCTCGGGCCGGGCTCGGGGTGTATTAGAACTCGCGAAACCCTCTACAGGTACAGTCCGCCAATCATACAAGTTCTCTATATACAAGTTTTCTTGTATATAGAGAAAACTGCGTAAGGTCTAATGGCCCAAATGAGTTACCTTCTAATTTTTAACCACCCAAATTACTTCATATGCATGTCTAACCTTCGCTTGAAACAATCCAGCGATCCCACATCCATTGTTACTTGGTAATTTGTTACATAAATCAACAGCCTTATTTCCAGCCAGGTCCCCAATTACTGCTGGGTGAACAGGGGTCAACGGTTGAGGATTGGTGTCCAGATGACCCTCCTTGTCCAGGGTTCGAGTCCGGGTCGTTCTCGCTTGTGATACTCTGAAGACCTCTAACTGTTTTTTAAAGTCACTTCACGACAACAGATTTATAAACAGTTTTTTTTTTTTGGGGGGGGGGGGGGGGGAAAAGAGTCGAACCGGGTTCCATAATGTAGGAGAGACTCACGCTACCGCCCCACCATATGCACACAAGGATTAAACTCCAATTATTGTCTGATTTTGCCCTGGATTTCCATAAAATAAAAATGTATTGTTAGAACAGCGATGGTCTTACAGATTCGACGTTCGATCCCCGATGGTCCAATTGGATGAACACCGTATATTCTGGCCTCATATCTCCTCCAAGTGCCAAACAGACTTAAAAGAGATTTCCTCGTAGTTATCTTACCTTGACACATCAAAATACGACAAGAAAAGCTTGGCTCCCAGCCGGGCTGGGCGAGTTGAAAATCTCTCGAAGGTAAATTTATCTACGAGTTTCAAATTTCAAACATAAACTTGTGAAAGCGCCGATTTTAGGATTACAGAAAGTCCGTCGACTTCAATGAATATTTGTGGGACCTGAGGACCACCCTGCTGGTGGCCAGGGGCTAGATTCACGAAGCAGTTACGCAAGCACTTACGAGCCTGTACATCTTTTCTCAATCTTTGGGCGACTTTGTTTACAATTATTAAACAGTTAATGAGCTCCGAAGCACCAGGAGGCTGTTTATAACAATAACAACAGTTGATTGGCAAGTTTTCATGCTTGTAAACTGTTAAATAAATGAAACCCAAGCCGTCAAAGATTGAGGAAAGATGTACACGTTCGTAAGTACTTGCGTAACTGCTTCGTGATTCTGGGTCCTGAGTAACACGAGCTCTCAAGATCCACCTTACACACACCACCCAACACCACCACAAAACCCACCTTACACCCAACACCACCACAAAACCCACCTTACACCCAACACCACCACAACTTCATTACACAACCCACAAATCTTAAAATAAAAGAACTGAAGACGTTTCGGTCGGTCCTGGGCCATTATTAAGTCGTGGAATGGAATGAGTGGAGGAAAAAGTCAGTTTATGGGATAAGAGAGGGAGACAATGAGATGAAGGAGAGATGATAGTCTAAGCTGATATAAATAATAATAATAATAATAATAATAATAATAATAATAATAATAATAATAATGGTGGCACCGGCGGCGGCGTTGGAGGCATGTATAATATAACTACAACAAAAGGTTTCTTATCTTCAAGAAGACGCTCCAAATTTCAAGTCAGCGCTCCAAAACTCTTCCAGGAAACCGTTTTCATCTTCCAGGTGGCTCTCCAGACCTCCAGATAACCCTCAAGACTGTCAAACGACTCTGCAGGCCTTCACTCTAAACTGTAAATTACCAGGTGACCCTTCAAGCTTCCAGGCGGCCCCCCTTCAAGCTTCCAGGCGGCCCCCTTCAAGCTTCCAGGCGGCCCCCCTTCAAGCTTCCAGGCGGCCCCCTTCAAGCTTCCAGGCGGCCCCCCTTCAAGCTTCCAGGCGGCCCCCCTTCAAGCTTCCAGGCGGCCCCCCTTCAAGCTTCCAGGCGGCCCCCCTTCAAGCTTCCAGGCGGCCCCCCTTCAAGCTTCCAGGCGGCCCCCCTTCAAGCTTCCAGGCGGCCCCCCTTCAAGCTTCCAGGCGGCCCCCCTTCAAGCTTCCAGGCGGCCCCCCTTCAAGCTTCCAGGCGGCCCCCCTTCAAGCTTCCAGGCGGCCCCCCTTCAAGCTTCCAGGCGGCCCCCCTTCAAGCTTCCAGGCGGCCCCCCTTCAAGCTTCCAGGCGGCCCCCCTTCAAGCTTCCAGGCGGCCCCCCTTCAAGCTTCCAGGCGGCCCCCCTTCAAGCTTCCAGGCGGCCCCCCTTCAAGCTTCCAGGCGGCCCCCCTTCAAGCTTCCAGGCGGCCCCCCTTCAAGCTTCCAGGCGGCCCCCCTTCAAGCTTCCAGGCGGGCCCCTTCAAGCTTCCAGACGGCCCCCTTCAAGCTTCCAGGCGGCCCCTTCAAGCTTCCAGGCGGCCCCCTTCAAGCTTCCAGGCGGCCCCCTTCAAGCTTCCAGGCGGCCCCTTCAAGCTTCCAGGCGGCCCCTTCAAGCTTCCAGGCGGCCTGCTACACGTCAAGACGACCCTCCAAGTCTCGAGACGAGCGTTCTACCTTCCTTCCAGTTTATAAAAATCTTGAAGCCTCCAGATTAACTCCAAAACTTCCAGATGACTTAAGAGATTCCAGACCATGAAGGCACCTTGATGAGCCCAAGCTCTTGCCCGACCCTAAGAGCTTCAGGAAAATGCCGAGCTTCCAGGCAATCCTCAAAGCTTCAAGGGGATCTTCAAAGGTTCCAGACGTGATTCGGTGGCTTCCAGACGGCCCACGAAGCTTTCAGTCGTGTTTCGGAGACTTCCAGAGGACTTACAAGGCTTCCAGATGTGCTTCGGGGCTTCCAGGCGGCCTACAAAGCTTCCAGACGTGCTTCGAGGCTTCCAGGAGGCCTACAAAGCTTCCAGACGTGCTTCGGGGCTTCCAGGCGGCCTACAAAGCTTCCAGACGGCCCACAAAGCTTCCAGACGGCCCACAAAGCTTCCAGACGGCCCACAAAGCTTCCAGACGTGCCTCGGGGCTTCCGGACAACCATCCTCAAGGCGCGAACACAAGCCTAGCCAACACAAAAATCCACTCCATTGAAAGCCCTCTACCAGAGCCCTTGAAGCGCGGGTTCCAGCAAATAAGCCATTCTTTCTTCAAGTTTTTCAGCTACACATCCCCCCTCCCGTCTGTTCCACAGTGTTCAATAGGGTTAAAGGCAGGAGAGTGTTTTTGAGGCGTTAGAAGAGCAGAAGAACAAGTAGAGGAGAAAGAGGATAGGGGAGGGAAGAAGAAAAGGGGAATAAAAAAAATGTGAAGGAGAAGAATGAAAGAATGTAAAGGGAAAATTAAGAGGGAACAGGTAAGGATAAAATAAAATAGAAAATAAAAGGAAAAGGGGGAGTGACAAGAGGGAGGAGAGAGGGGGAAAAGACAAGAGGTAAGAGGAGGCGGTAAGAGGAGGCGACAAGAGGGGGAAGACACATGCAAGAGTGGCAAGGAAAAAAGAGTGTAAGGTGGAGGGGTAGAGAGGTGAGTGCTTACGCCACTATTCCCACCAACTTACACAATAACCCCCTCCCCCCACCATTGTTGCAAAATTAAATCATTCTCAGCAATTTCTCCCACCCTTTCTGAGAGCAGCTGTGTGACCTAGACCCTCTGACCTTCACGGATAGCAACATACATACATCACTAAGAACTCTTAAAATGACCCCTGACCAGGATTCGAACCCACGACGTCTCTGATCACCCCCAAACGTTCACAGTACCTTGACCATTGGATCATTGATCGTCTGTAAGTATTGCTTGCGCGGCCTTCCTCTTTCATATATTTTTTATATTCTTGACTTACATATAATTCTATAATTCGTGTTGAAAGCGTTACACAGTTGCTAAACATTTTGCATATGTTGCAGCCAGATAATTCTGCGACGTTGCCTTAAGTATAATTATTTAGGTTTATATACGACGTCGTAGATATAATTCATCAACATTGTCGTAGAAATAATACAACGGCGATGTCTTAGAAATAATGTTACATTAAAAGTCACGAGGAACTTCAAAGCGAAGCAACCCCCATCGAATTATATTGCAAATAAAATACTTAAGAAAAATAATCAGGTCGAATAATCAGGATAATTAACAATTATCTACAATGCTCTTTAAGGGTAACGCTACCATGGATATTTTGTATTCCACATTAACTATATAATTGACCGCAGAATAAATCTATGCTCTCTACCATGCAAGCAGGCTGCGAAAACATTCTTGACTTCACTCAATACAAATACTTGAATCTACAGTTAAAACTAATCTACATTAAAATTATATTGCACAAGTAAATTCAGAGTTTTATATAAGCAATTCCTGCAATCCTTTAGAAAATATTTATTTCAACTAAAGCTGATGTTTACGCAAAAAAGTTGACTTATTTGACGATATAAGGATATACGGTCAAGCTTGAGAAGCGAAATTCGTATCAAAACTTCAGTGTACTGAGGCCTTCTCTGCTCAGATAGAAGCTTTTGTCTTCGGAACGATAGAATTCCCGTCGAGAAGCCAAACTACCTCTTCCCACGATAACGACACCCCCCCTAAGATATCAGGCGGCGATATCATCACCCTTTTACCCCCTTTAGGGCGCCTTATAGACTAATATCGCCACCTCCACCCTTTTGGCCTACTACGAGAATCTGGTAATGGTATCGAATACCCAAGTACCCGGTACCAATACCCAAGCACCCGGTACCTATACCCAAGTACCCGGTACCAATACCCAAGCACCAGGTACCTATACCCGAGCACCTGGTCTCACCTTCACACAGAGTCAAAGCGTTCCAAGGGAGAAAGAATCATGGTAGATCAACACTTACCTCATTGTCATACTCTGTGATCTCTTCCTCCTCCTCGTCGGTGGGGAAGGCGGGGGTGTGTGGTGGGGAGGTGAGGGGAAGAGGGGGAACTTCCGAACCACTCGATAAGATGGACGCGGAGTGCTGAGGGGAGACAGCAGAGAAGGAGGTGAAGAACATAAATAAATCACACACAAACTATCTTACAATATGCAAATATGAGTATGTGTACAAATTATACATAAGGCAAAATTAATGCGGGTTAAATAAATATATCAATCACACACACATTAAGTAACGTGAGTGATTCAGTTACGACTGGATGAGGGGTCCAGAGGCTAGGATTGATCAACCCAATCAATCGAATATACACTAGGATCAAGATTGATCCTAGTGTGTATGTGCCGAGAAGTGAGCCTCTCTCTCAATCTCTCCCTCCATATATCCTTTGCATGAATCGCTTGATATAAAGAGACTATATTGACGCTTATAGATCATAAATGACTAAACTTTATATCTTAAACTACAAACGTTAATACAATGGATATACAATGTATTAATGCTTTCACAACCCCCAACCAATACCTTTGATACGCGTAAACCAAACGTTTGGCAACAATGCAATCCATTTTTCAACCTGCCACACACATTAACGTGCACTGGCGTAGTTACAAAATGTGGAGATTCCAAAGGTGCTGAAGAATTGTGGAGTTACAGAGGGTACCCTATTGGAACTACACACACACATAGTTTTAATATATATATTAAATATAACAATATCCTCATTTATTTATCCTCATATATAACAATATCCTCATTTATTTCTACATTTGCCACCAGTTCACTTCAGAGCCATTGCTCTGAACAATACGTGAAAGAGCACAGAGGGAGCATGATCGCTACATCTCTAATACCAAGGACAGAACTACAAAAAAGTAGCGATACCATAGAATTAAGGGTAATTGGTCTATATCAAGAAATAAAAATATGATAGTAAGAAACGAGAGAGAGAGAGAGAGAGAGAGAGAGAGAGAGAGAGAGAGAGAGAGAGAGAGAGAGAGAGAGAGAGAGAGAGAGAGAGAGAGAGAGAGAGAGAGAGAGAGAGAGAGAGAGAGAGAAATATACGAAGGCCTGAAAGTCCGATAAAACTTACCGAGTAACAACAGTTTATGAGTATTTACAAAAAACAATTTATATTAACTAAAAGATCCAAGTCAAAAACGAATAAAACATCGCTAATGAAATAAAATAAAATAAAAATGTTATATTAGTTAATAATAATAATATTACACACACTAACCATGGATAAAATCCATAGGAGCAGTGATGAGGATTCGAACCTACGCGGTAGGTGTCCCCATGCCCACACGCGCCCTACACAACTAGACCACCAAGCATGGTATAAGGAGTCCAACCTGGACATCTACTGAACACAATTATGTGAAGCTCCTGGTCCGGAGTCAGTGGAAGCCTCAGGAAACCCTCGTGTGTTCAGTATAGAATTCCAGGATGCAACCATAGTCATGGTGGTCGAGGGCCAGATTCACTTAGCAGTTACGCAAGTACTTACGAACCTGTACATCTTTTCTCCATCTTTGGCGGCTTTGTTTACAATTATTCAACAGTTAATGAGCTTCGAAGCACCAGGAGGCTGTTTATAACAATAACAACAGTTGATTGGCAAGTTTTACTGCTTGTAAACTGTTTAATAAATGTAAACAAAGCCGTTAAAGATTGAGGAAAGATGTACACGTTCGTAAGTACTTGCGTAACTGTTTTGTGAATCTGACTCCTAGTCGCTACAGTGCGCGCGCGTGGGGACATCCACCACACAAGTTCGATCCCCCATCACGGCTCCTACGGATTTCGTCATTATTATTATTACTACTACTTTAGATTTTTGTGGTTAATCAAAATGATACATCGTAATAGGAAAAACAAACTGGAAATAAACAAAATAAATAGTAGATAAAAGTGGAAACAAAGCAACAGGAAACACAATAACGGGAAATACAGTAACGGGAATACAATAACGGGAAATACAACAAACGAAAATACAAAAACCAAAGAATTTAAACAATAACAATAAACACAATATCAAACACCATACCAGGAAATGCAATAAAGACATGAAATACAACAATAAACGGAAAACCCAATAACAACCGGATAATACAACAACAACAAAGCCCCTAAAAGAAAGAAAGAAAGAAAGAAAGAAAGAAAGAAAGAAAGAAAGAAAGAAAGAAAGAAAGAAAGAAAGAAAGAAAAAAAACAAAAAAAAAAGAGGGAATCAGCAGACCAAACCACATAAAAGTCAAAAAAGCATTAGCATGCTCGTGACAATATCCTGAGCATCAGGGGGACACGATCACGGCCCCACCAGGACACCCAACCGACACTCCACTGAAAGGAGTTTGAGAATTTATCGATGGAATTATTGGCTACACGTTCCCACGGCGTCTGCTGGAGATAGGGGGAGAGGAGGGGCGAGCTTTGCATCAATATATTGGAAAATATTGCCACTGGGTTGATGGGGATGGATGGAAGGGGTAGAGAGGGGATGGGGGATAAGGGGCTAGGGGGAAGGTGAGAGGAAGGATAGGGAGAGATGTTTTTCACCTGGTTAACTGACTTTACCTATCCCCTCCCCTCTACACAGAAGGGAAGGGGGCGTAGGAGAAGACAATGAACAGAAAAAGGGAGAAGAGAAAAAGAAAAGGAAAGAGAAAGAAAGAAATGGAAGGGGGAAAGCTTATGTTAAGTCACGTATATTAAACCACCTTCCTCGTCGCTTCCAGCTTGCCCTTGCCTCCCTGAAATCTAACAACTCTATTCTTATCCTTCCTTCCGACAAAAGCAATTCGGTGGTTGTCCTTGACCGTGAGGACTACCTCCGAAAAGCAGATGTCTTGCTCACTGACTCTCGCACTTATGCTCCTCTGACTTCTAACCCTTTGGATCGCCTCAAAACTTCCTTTAACCGCAAACTAAGACAGCTCTCTAGTCTTTGCCCTCCTGACTTTGATCTCATTAAACGTTTCCGTGTCATCTGCCCTTCTCTTCCTTATTTCTATGGTCTTCCTAAGACTCATAAACCTGGTGTTCCTCTTCGTCCTATCATTTCTTCACGGGGCTCTGTCAGCTATCCTCTTGCCTCCTGGCTCGCTAAAACCCTGACACCTTACCTTGGCACTTTTTCCCCTGCCCACCTTCGTCACTCTCAGGACTTCATAGAAAGACTGCGCCTGCAACCCTCTTGTAAGATGCTTAGTCTTGATGTCGACTCTCTGTTCACTAATGTTCCGCTCGATGGCATTCTCTCTTTCCTCAGACAGAAGGCGTCAGAGGGCCTCCTTCCTCTCCCACTTCCCACTGACGTTTTCCTCGATCTCATTAGACTCTGTGTTGAATCTAACTCTTTCTCTTTCAACGGTAAATATTACACTCAAACTTTCGGCGTCGCTATGGGTTCCCCTCTCTCCCCTGTTCTTGCTAATTTCTACATGGAATACTTCGAAACTGTTCTTCTTCCTTCTATTGATACTCGTCCCTCTCTCTGGCTTCGATATGTTGATGACATTTTTGCTTTATGGCCTCATGACCTTAATCTTTTCCAGCCTTTCCTCGCCTCTCTTAACAATCTGGCTCCTTCTATCCATTTCAAAGTTGAGTGGGAATCTAATTCCCTCCTTCCTTTTCTTGATGTTCATGTTCACAGCTCTGTGTCTGGGTTCTCTTTCTCTGTCTACCGTAAACCCATGCATAGTGGCATGTACATTCACTTCTTTTCCTACCATCCTCCTTCTGTTAAGAAAAGTGTCCTCGTCTCTCTCTTCCTCCGCGCTCTACGCATCAGCGACCCTCAGTTTCTTGATTCTGAAATTGCCTTTATCTACAAATCATTCTCTCGCCTTGGTTATCCTTTGCATTTCATCAACTGTGCCCACTCTCAAGCTAAACGAAATTTCTTTCATCCTAAACCTGCTTCCAACACTAGTAGCACTGTACTATGCCTTCCCTTCATATCTGAACTCAAAACTTTTACCAATACCTTTCGTCCTCTTGACATTAAACTTGCCTTTCGACAAACTAACACACTTCGTAGCAATCTAGTTCACACTGCTCCTCCTGCTTCTAATGCTGCTGGTGTCTACACTATTTCCTGTTCATCTTGTCCTCTACAATACTTTGGCGAAACTGGCCGTACACTGAATGACAGACTTAAAGAACACAAGAGAAGTGTTAAGTCTGCAGACACTAACAATACTCTCTTCTGCCATGTGAGGGATTCTAATCATCCCATTGATTGGTCTTCCTCCAAAATAATCTTTCCTGCCTCTACTCTACACAGACGCCGTCTTGTAGAATCGGCTCTTATATACAATGTACCCAACATGAACTTGAGTCCTGGCTTTGTTGCTGTGGACTCTTCCCTTTCACAGTATATACTCAAATGCTCTAATCTTTCTAACAAACGTGACTTAACATAAGCTTTCCCCCTTCCATTTCTTTTTTTCTCTTTCCTTTTCTTTTTCTCTTCTCCCTTTTTCTGTTCATTGTCTTCTCCTACGCTCCCTTGCTATCCTCTTCTTTTTCCTATTACTTCTCCTTCGGTGGTTATAATAGGAGCTGCCTCGTATGGGCCAATAGGCCTGCTGCAGTTTCCATTACTACTATCCCCTACACCTGACTTTCCTCCTCAGCTCTCTCTTGCCTATTTATTGACTGTCCCTACCTCCTCATCACAATCGACTTGAGAATGGTCCAGGACGGACCGAAACGTCGTCGTCCCTTCAATTTCTAGTGTGTGGTCTGGTCAACATACTTCAGCCACGTTATTGTGACTCATCGTCTGCAGAAAGGGGCCCATTTTCCCCCCCCCACCCCCCCCCCCCTGCCCCTTAACATCACGGGCTGCTAAAGGTTCATCTCTCACTAAGGGGCGCTTCCCAACCACTTCACCTAAAACCATTCTAAATTTGAGCCCATTTGACATTCCCGTCACAGCCAGAACAGCGCAAACCTGCTCCTCTTACCTCAGTTATCCCCCCTCTGGCTGCATCCTCCACTTTCCTTCACTTCACAAATTCCTTTTTTCCTCATGGAAATATCTTGCGTTTTCTTTAGCTACGTTTTCTTTG